AACCACTAGATTTGCAGTAATTTGTTACAACAGCAATAGAAAACGAATACAAGGATAACTTACAATCAGTTGAATAAGCAAGGGCAGATTTCAGGATGAGGCAAGATTAATCCTATAGAGATTGCTGTATTGATAGAAAATAGTTTAAGTCTTGGAGATTTAAATGCTTGCAGCAATTCTAGTACAGGTACAGTATCAATAAGGTTCTATCAGCAAGGTGAGATCTTTTCAATGAGATTTGATAATTGGATTCTAAAACACAAGGAGCATAGAGATGAATCAGAAATTGTCTTTGTCCTCAAGATGGTTCACATCTAATTGGAGAAAAATGAAACACACGTATAGAATATTTCTGGATTACATTAAAAATCCTATGTGAAAAAAGTAGTTTAGGCAATACATTCAAGATCGTTGTGTAATGGGATTAGAAATCCTTATGGACCCATGGAATTATGATTTTATTGACTTAAACTCTTGATATGGTGGTATTTAAGATTTGCTTGGCAGAGGCATGGTGAGAACATCATTTACTATTGTTTCTATCTAGAAGACAAAATACTACAAGTGGTGGGGGCAGTTAGCTAATGATTTTCCCACATAATTAAAAAATATATATGATTCAGTATTCCACTGTTCAGATAAATTTAAAGATAATTCATATGTGTCAAATGCAGACAATTCTTGACAAGCTCATGCTAAATTAATGTCTTTGAACCCCAGAAGCATCACTGGACATGTATTCTTCACAAAAATGAAATGCTCCATCTTCCTAAAAACACAAAAATACAAAAAGGCATGGAAAAATATGTAGCAGTGCCAATATATTCATTCAGGATTCATTTACTTATTCATTTTTAAAGAAAAATTATATTGAGAATGCACTTTGAATCCTGTTTAATGCTATTGAGGATACAGTGGTAAAAAAAATAAAACAAACAGAATAGACCCCATCCCTCAAATATTTATAGTCTAAAAGATAAAATAATCAGTAAAAAATAATAAATTCATCAAATTACCACAATGTACACTTTAAATATCTTATCATTTTCTATCTTTATATATTTATTCCTCAATAAATTCCTTTATTCTTCAATAAAGCTGAAAAAATAATAACACAGGAGTGATGCATATTGAAAGAGTAGAAACCCAAGTGACATAACATATTAGGAATGTTTTTCCCTTTCAGCTGAAGCCTCAGGTGTGGGTAGAAATTAACCAGACAAAGTGTGAAATTCATGTGGAGATGAGAAAGAGCATGATATGTGGTCAGAAATGAAAGTAGGCTGAAAGATCCAGACCTACATTATTGTATTACACTGTAATGTAAGGAAGGCAGGTTCTACCAGATTATGACAATCCTTAAAACCTGGACTTTATCTTTTTTAAAATTTTTTATTATGTTCAATTAGCCAACATGTAGTACATCATTAGTTTTTGATGCAGTGTTCAATGATTCATTAATTGCATATATCTTAAGAGTAATAAAAAGCTATTGAATAATTTTATTTAATATATCATTTCTTACTGGAAAGCCAATTTGGACCATTCTCCAAGATATACTTTTACCTAAAATTTCAGTATAACTCAATCATTTTGGGAAAAGAAACGTACCTTAGATATAACCAAGGAGTCTGAATACCAAAATTCAAGTTCTGATTCAAATTAAGCCTCAATTTCCTCTTATTCAAACAGGGACCATAATAAGCTCCCTATCTATAAAGCTAGTACTTGCTGAGTGTTTTTTTTGCTCTAAGAACTTCAAAGCTATATTATCTCATTTAGTTACTTTTATCATCATCTGCAGCATGTAGATGTGGAAACTAATGCACACAGAAAATAAATAAGTTGCTCAAGTTTACTCATTTAGAAAGTTTTGGAGTGTGTATTTGAATTGATTCTTAAGCACTATGTGTTGAGAAGCCATATGATAACTTTCATACTTCTGCATGAACAGGACTTTCTGAACAAAAATTATTTACAACAGGGGTAAAAGACAAGTTTTAGAAATTGAAGAATGACTGATTAGTGGTTATCAGGGGCTCAGGGAGGGAGAATTAGGTAGTTGCTACTAACGAAAATGTTCTATAATTAGATTGTGGAGATGGTTGTGCAACTCTGTAAATATACTAAAAACTATTCAATTGTACAGTCTAAATGGGTGGCTTTTATTGTACATGAATTATATCTCAATAAAACTCAAAATATAAACAATAATGTATTAATTTTGACAACAAGAATGGTATCTTGTGACGTGCATGATTCAGTGGAAGGGAAGGATAAGGGTTCATACCCCAGTTAACAGTATATGAGGGAAGTCCAAGAGAACAGGTAGCAAACATGAATAATATATGTTCTTCCACTTTGTTGCCCATTAAAGAATTGGAAAAATGGTTCTTATCCAGTAACTGGAAGAAAATTTAGAACAAGCAGCCAAAATGGTGGTTTTTTACTTTTTATTTGGCATACAAAAGAAAACAGCCTTCAGTTGGAGATACTCTCTTTTAAAGTTTTAGAAATTAGGTTATGACATGTCTATGAGATATGTCCTCTTGAACGATTATAGCTTACTAATGAGCACTTATTGGAATTGGATGTTTGAATCATAAAGGTCAGGTGATCCTTTTATGGTTAGTTGATTCCCAGTAAATAATATTTAAAGGAAAAATAATAGTCTTTGATAAAATGATGGACAATTGGCTCTCAACACACACACAAAACATGTATTAAACCCCTGCACACATACACCATACACATCAGCATACCACGGACCTAAATGTAATACTAAACTCTGAAACTCTTAGAAGAAAGCATAGGTATAAATCTTTGTGAGCTTGAATTAGATAATAATTTCTTAGGCACAACACCAAGAGCCTAAGCAATAAGAGAAAAAAAATAGAAAAATTAGACAAAATCTAAATTAAAGTATTTTGCACTTTAAAAGTCACCCTCAGGAAGGTGAAAAGACAATCCAGAGACTGGGAAAAATATTTATAAATCATTTTCTGATAAGTGACTCATCCAGAATATGTAAAGAATTCTTAAAATTCAAAAATAAAAATATTAATAAGATCACATCATAAGTTATCAGTCATGAAAGATGTGTGTACCCAAACCACCAGTCCATTCACACCCACTGGAATGGATATATTCAAAAACAGAATATAAGTGTTGGTGAGATTATGAAGAAATCTCAACCATAATACGCTGATAGCGGGAATGAAAATATTGCATCAGTTTAGAAAACAGTTTAGCAGTTTCTCAAAATGTTAAAAAACAGAATTATCACATGACCCACTGTTAGGGGTGTACCCCAAAGAATTGAAAGACATGTCTGCACAAAGGTTTGTACATGATTGCTCATCTCAGCTTTATTCACAATAGTCAATAAATGGAGGAAACAATGCCCATCAACTCATGAATACATGGAAGCATCTGGCATTCTACTGGTACTCTTCTTTAACTCTGATGCTTCCATGTATTCATGACACTCTGCATGCAGGTCCTGAGAAAAGGATGAGGAAGGCCATCCTGTACATTTTCACCACAGTATAATCCATTAGAGTTCCACCTACTAGAAAATGGTACTACTCTTGATGAATAAGTAGTAACTCTTTACTTTTTAATTTTTTATGTTCAATTAGCCAACATATAATACATCATTTGTTTTGGATGTAGCGTTCAACGATTCATTAGTTGCATATAATACCCAGTGCTCACTTTTTAATAATTTAAAATAAAACAAAGTCTTTCATATACATACGATATTGTACTCTTCAGCAAAGAATTGGGACACTGATATGTGTTACAACATGGATGAACATCACAAGCATTATGCTCAAAGAAGTCAGACAAAAACAAAAAACAAAAACATGCCTTGTATGGTTCTATTTGTAAGACATATCCAGACTGGAAAATCTATAGGGGCAGTGAGTAGATAAGTGGTGGTCAAAGACTGGGGGTGAAAATAGAAAGTGATTCTAAATAGGTACAATGTTCAATGTTGGTGCCACTATCTCCACTTGCATAAATAATACTCTTTCTTTGTCACTGTCTCATTGAGGCACACACCATCAATTCGATTTCACAAACCAGAAACATGAGCATCAACTATGAAACTATTCTGTTCAGCAAGGCACACACAGTTATTAAGGGGTGTCCATAGGTCCTAAGTATTATTCTATCCCTTATCTGATTTCCCTTTTCACAATCATTGCTCTAAGCGAGGCACCATCAGTCCTCAATCGGGGTTTTGCTGGAGTTTCTAAACTAAAACCTTTTCTGTAGACTCTGAAGAATTTAAAATACCATGAAGAAATCCCAATGATATTCAGTGAAAAAGTGAAGAAGGAAAATTTTATGTGGAAAAGGTCATATATTACAGCATGGGAAAAGATTAAGAATAAAGTCTTTGGGATAGTGGGATTTAGTATCTTTTTATTTCAAAATTCCTGTGATGGACTTGCATTAGTCACTAGTGGGGAAAAAGTAATAGAGGTGAGGGAAGGCTGAGCATCATAGTTTCAGATGTCCCGCACCTCACCTGGAGGAATGAAGAAAGTCCAATTTCACTGTATTATGTATTTTGATATAAGGACAAATTAATGGAATAATCTAAGCAATAAGCATGTTTCCAAAATTTAGGTGGAAGAGGGTCGAAATAGATTGAAAATATTGATGAACTGAGGGTCATAATTTTCATATAGCAACCATGCTTCAAGAACATGTCAACAAAATGCAGAGACACTTTTTCCCTACACGTTGGTCATGATTATTCTACAGCAGACTTTGAGAAATCTTTTCTGGAATGTGTATTGGCAAAAATTAGTTCTATTTTGCCTCTTGCAATAAAAAGCCTCTGAAGTTCTTTAATACTCAAGTCCTCATTAAGCAATAACCTGCTATAATAATTATTATTTAGATTGCAAGTTGTTACAGATATAGGAAGTAGTATTACTCTTTTGACCTTAAAACATTCTCACTGATTGCATCCAAGGGTTTTACTACATTTTCAGAGAAAACCACTTCTTCATCCTGCTTTGAATCTGCTGGGTTTTTACACTGTAGAGGATTGGATTCATCAGGGGTGGGAAGAGAATATAGATATTGCCCATAAGGACATGAATGGAAGGTGAGAGATGCTTTCCAAAACGGTGCACCATGGTGAGGCCAATGATGGGGATGTAAAAGACCAGGATGGCACAGATGTGAGACACACAGGTCTGCAAGGCCTTGAGCCTCTCCTCCCGGGATGCAATTGCCAGCACTGTATGCAAGATGAAAATATAGGAGATGAGAATGAGCACAGCATCCAACAACAAGGTACAAATGACCAGAGCCAGGGCATAGAAGCTGTTGAAGTGGACGTCAGAGCAGGCGAGTCAGAGTAGGTCCTGGTGCAGGCAGAAAGAGTGGGAGAGGATGTGGGGGAGGCAGTAATGGAAGAACTTCAGGCGAATGATGATGGGGAGAATGGGCAATGCACTTCTCATCAAAATGGCCACCACGACATGAATGACTCTACTGTTGGTCAGGATGGATGTGTAGTGCAGAGGATTGCAGATTGCAGTGAAGCAATCAAAGGCCATCGCCAGAAGGACTCCAGACACTATGAAGGACAAACCATGGATGAAGTAAGTTTGGGCAATGCAGACATCCCGACTGAGTTCTTGGCTGAGCCCCCTCTGGACCCCCAGCACCGTGTGCACTGTGGACATCTCCATGCACAGGTCAGTGAGGGCCAGCATGGCCAGGAAGTAGAACTTGGGCTGGTGCAGGCTCGGCTCTGTCCGGATCACATGCAGCACCGGGCAGTTTCCCAGGAACATGATAGCATAGATGGAGGAGAAAGGAATTGAAAACCAGGGATAGTACTGGTCTAGGCCAGGGAACCCCGTGAGAATGAATATTGAGGTATTGATAATGGAAGCCGAAGAAGCAGACATGATTATGTGAAGGTAATTTTCCAGAGAAGATCGATATTTACTGACCAGGTTTGTCACATCTTCTACCGTGTGTGAGAGCAGTGCAGTATAACACAGCCACTCACATTGTAGCCCAGGTAAAGAACATCATAGAATCGCAGGGAGGCTCCACTCTGCAGAAGCTACAGCACAAGATGATTTCCCAGGGTAGCTCCTTGGTAGTAGGTCTCAGGTTGTAGAAGCAAATCAATGTCCTGACCATTCTGGGCAAATTAGATCATTAACTTCATTCTCTTTTAGTCCCTCTGAGCCACCTGCAGGACACACAGCAGGTGACAGTAGCTAAAGCTCTTGAGAGCACAGGGCTACTCCTGCTCTGCTGCTCCTGAGGAAGCCCCAGAACACTGTCTTGTCACCTGGGCTTGTGGCATGCGGAGTCAGAACGCTCAGATTTATGAGGAAGGAATGAAGAGGATTGTGTGGGCCAGGTGGACCCGGGCTCCTGGGAGGCCACTATTCCCACTTGGTGGCTGATGCAAGTGAGAGATCCCATCTGGTCACTCACTGCAAACTAGGGGTTCCTTGGGATTGAGAGGAATGGCTAAATGGACACATTTTCCCGAGTCCACAGATCTTTCAATCCTGGAGGGAGAGAGACTCACTGTGTCGACTGAAAATTTAATACCTACTCAGAGGATGCAAGAAGTAAACACCCAAGGGGAGAAGATAGTATCAGAATTCTGAAGAATTTTTAGTCTCTATTTCAGTCTGAAATCAACCAAATATTTACATAAGGCTTACATGAGGCTTATTCATTGTTTTTCCCCAACTTTCAGGTCGTGATCTCAGGGTCAAGAGATTGAGCCCTGTGTGGGGGCTCCATGCTAAGTGGGGAATCTGCCTGAGATTCTCTCCCTCTCTCAGTGCTCCCCCCCGTTTGCTCTCTCTCTCTCCCAAATTAAAAAAAAAAAGAAATGGGGCACCTGGGTGATTCTGTCGGTTAAGCATCTGACTCTTGGTTTTGGCTCAGGTCATCATCTCATGGGTCATGGGATCGAGCGCCATGTCAGGCTCTGTGCTTGGCAGGGACTCCACTTTAAGACTCTCTCCCTCTGCCCCTCCCCCCCACTCATGCTTGCATGCTCTCTTTCTCTCTCTAAAATAAATAAATATATCTTTAAGAAAATAAAATTATAGATAACTATTTCATTCACATTTCATTTTTTTCCTTTGAGACATTTTCAATAATCTTTTTTCGCATGGGAAAGTTTTGAGTACAAAGAACAATTTCATGAATGATTTCATGATCATTTTCATGAACGATCCCATTTAATGATAAATTTTCTACCCAATGCCCTATCACTCCTGAATTCTTTAGTGTGTGTTTTCTATAATCAGGGACATTCTCCTACATAACTATAATATAATCATCATCATGAAATTAACTCTGATGCATTACTATCATCAAATTTTCAGAACCCAGATAAACTTTCTCCATTTGTACCATCAATGTAATTTATAGTACACAAAAATGCAGTTCAGAATCATGTGTGTATTAGTATTCCTACCTTTTAAATTTCTTCCCTGTGAAATGTCTTCAGATTTACTTGATTCATATAACTCTTGAGTTTTTGAAGATTACAAGTCAACTATTTTATAGAATGCTTCTTTTCTGAGTTTGTTTGATTCATCCTCATGGTTAGATTCAGATTGTGTAGGAACGTAATGAAAGTGAAGTTCTATTCTTTTCATGTATATATTCAGGCTGTATGTGGTTTGAATTTGTCCAAATACTCATGATGATCAACGTGATTATTTGTTAAGGTCAGGTCTTCCAGGAATCATTAAAGTTATACGTTTTCCTTTGACTTGAATAAAATAAAAACAATAGCTATAAGATATTTTCATAGTGTCAAATACTCCCTTACAAAGTACTTATTAAATAGGCAATTATCAGGGCACCTGGGTGGCTCAGTTGTTAAGCGTCTGCCTTCTGCTCAGGTCATGATCCCGGGGTCCTGGGATCGAGCCCCGCATTGGGCTCCCTGCTCCGCAGGAAGCCTGCTTCTCCCTCTCCCACTCCCCCTGCTTGTATTCCCTCTCTTGCTGTGTCTCTCTCTGTCAAATAAATAAATAAAAAATCTTAAAAAAAAATAATTAAAAAAAAGGCAATTATCAGTCACCATCAATTTTTAATGTTCAACTTGTTCCAGATTTGCTCAGTAAGAGCACCATAATTTGACTTTTGCATCCTTTTGACATTTGTTTTAGCACTTTTTAAATTTTTGGTATAATGGTATATTCAGCATACTTTCACTAGCCTGGCCCTATAAGCATCCATTTTCCCAAAAAGCTAGGGGCCTTTTCCATACAGATTACTATTTAGAAGCTTAAGATGTGAATGCTAGATGGGTCATTTCCATAGGGGAACTGAGCTAGGATATATTTCTCTATATACATATATTGAAAACCTTAATGCACATTTATACAGTCAATTCTCTTTATTCATGGTTATAAAGTGGCCACAATCACTGAATCAATGAATACTGAACTATTGCTGCTAAGAAAAATAAAAGGTAAGATTTCTACAAGCCTTAGTCACAACATTATTGAGTATAACAGCATCTTGCATTTAATAGCATTTAACAGAAACACTATCATGTTATATAGGTTCACTTGCCAATGTCACTGTGAAACAAGCCAGGCTCATCAGCGTTGAAAACCTCATGCACAAAACCCTTTAGCAGATTTAGCAGATATTGAAAGTTTCTGCTGCTTCCTGATCTGTTGACTCTGCCCTGCCTGAAGCTTCACATTTTTCATGCCATATTGCCTTTGTTTTTTAGTTTTTTAGTTTTTTATTTTATTATGTTATGTTAATCACCATACATTACATCATTAGTTTTTGATGTAGTGTTCCATGATTCATTGTTTGCGTATAACACCCAGTGCTCCATTCAGTAAGTGCCCTCTTTAAGACCCATCACCAGGCTAACCCATCCCCTCACTCCCTCCCCTCTAGAACCCTCAGTTTGTTTCTCAGAGTCCATAGTCTTTCATGGTTCTTCTCCCCCTCTGATTCCCCCCCTTCATTTTACCCTTCTTACTATCTTCTTTTTTTTAAGCATATAATGTATTATTTGTTTCAGAGGTACAGTTCTGTGATTCAACAAGGTCTGTGATTCAACAGTCTTACACAATTCACAGCACTCACCATAGCACATACCATCCCCAATGTCTATCACCCAGCCACCCCATCCCTCCCACCCCCCACCACTCCAGGAACCCTCAGTTTGTTTCCTGAGATTAAGAATTCCTCATACCAGTGAGATCATATGATACATGTCTTTCTCTGATTGACTTATTTTGCTCAGCATAATATTCTCCAGTTCCATCCACGTCATTGCAAATGGCAAGATTTCATTCCTTTTGATGGCTGCATAATATTCCATTGTATATATATACCACATCTTCTTTATCCACTCATCTGTCGATGGACATCTTGGCTCTTTAATTTGTATGGAACCAGAAAAGATTCTTAATAGCCAGAGGAATGTTGAAAAAGAAAAGCAAAGCTGGTGGCATCACAATTCTGGACTTCCAGCTCTATTACAAAGCTGTCATCATCAAGACAGTATGGTACTGGCACAAAAACAGGCACATAGATCAATGGAACAGAATAGAGAGCCCAGAAATGGACCCTCAACTCTGTGGCCAACTCATGTTCAACAAAGCAGGGAAGAATGTCCAATGGAAAAAAGACAGTCTCTTCAACAAATGGTGTTGGGAAAAGTGGACAGCCACATGCAGAAGAATGAAACTGGACCATTTCCTTACACCACACACAAAAATAGACTCCAAATGCTTGAAAGACCTCAATGTGAGACAGGAGTCCATCAAAATCCTAAAGGAGAACACAGGCAGCAACCTCTTCGACCTCAGCCACAGCAACTTCTTCCTAGAAACATCACCAAAGGCAAGGGAAGCAAGGGCAAAAATGAACTATTTGGACTTCATCAAGATAAAAAGCTTTTGCACAGCAAAAGAAAAAGTCAACAAAACCAAAAGACAACCGACAGAATGGGAGAAGATATTTGCAAATGACATATGAGTTAAAGGGCTAGTATCCAGAATCTATAAAGAACTTCTCAAACTCAACACCCAAAGAACAAAGAATCCAATCAAGAAATGGGCAGAAGACATGAACAGACATTTCTGCAAAGAAGACATCCAAATGGCCAACAGACCCATGAAAAAATGCTCAACATCACTCGGCATCAGGGAAATCCAAATCAAAACCTCAATGAGATACCACCTCACACCAGTCAGAATGGCTAAAAGTAATAAGTCAGGAAATGACAGATGTTGGCGGGGATGCAGAGAAAGGGGAACCCTCCTACACTGTTGGTGGGAATGCAAGCTGGTGCAGCCACTCTGGAAAACAGTATGGAGTTTCCTCAAAAAGTTGAAGATAGAGCTGCCCTACGACCTAGCAATTGCAGTACTGGGTATTTACCCCAACGATACAAATGTAGGGATCCAAAGTGGTATGTGCACCCTGATGTTTATAGCAGCAATGTCCACAATAGCCAAACTATGGAAATAGCCAAGATGTTCATTGACAGATGAATGGCCATATTGCCTTTGAAATTTGCAAACCAGCTGGTGCTAAGTGGGGTTCACATTTTCCCAATTAATGGGTATGGTGACCCTAAATTTCTAAGTCTCACAAGGATGCCCACTATGCAGCTTTTGTCAGCTGTCATCTCATGAATCCACAAATGTAGCTGCTTTTCCATCTTTTCTGTTGCTTCACCATGTACTACAGACATTGTTTTAGCCCTTTCTGGGGAATCCTCCCCTACAGATCAGGGAATTCTCTTTTTCTTTTTCTGGGAATACCACATCATTGATTTGTTAACATTGAACTCACATAAACTCACATACTCCAGCGTTATAAATCATGCTTGAAAGAAGCTTATCTCATGCACACACATATTTTCTCTATAAGGTACATCAAC